GTGTTTTAAATATTTGGCTTACCTAGCTCCGATAGTAGGCGCCATCACGACACCCGATGGTGGAAAATCCGGGTCGTGACAGGTTGAGACCCTATCCCGACCATAATACAGTTCAGTTATCTCTAGAGGCTTGTAGACGAGTCCTGTTTATTTTTTATATCAGTATTGTGGCTTTACCAGCCTTATGTAGATGTTTAGTTTGGTATTGCTGGTTGTAGATATTAATTTTCAGATGATTTAAAATATGACCTCATCGGCCTAAGTTGAGGGTTACCCCTCCAGAGTTCACAGTTATAGAGTTGTACGCTCGAGCCGAATATGCCACGGGTATGTGTCACGCCTTTTCGGGTTTGGAGCGTGACACCAACCCAAAGTCCCCAGCCCTACTTGAAAAAGTCCTTCGACAACTAAAATCTTACCTGAACTAACCCATTCCCTTATTTCGCTAGTTAGTTTTCATTATCTCAGTTAGTTCCACTCACCCATTAAAGAAATGGACGACAATGACAGTTCCACTTTATTGCACATTTTTAGAAATTTCTCTAGGAATGTCTCACTCACTCTACACAATAACACATCACATTTCTTAATCCATAGCTTACTTGATAAAAAGAATTCATAGAGAACAAAAGATACATGCAGAGATATAGACCACCATGAAGGGACGATTTTTTTGGGATAAGATTCCATAACCCCTCAAAGATATCTCTCCTACCTAGGGACGACGAACAACCTCTTATTCATTTATTACTATCCATAAATGACAAAACACATTCTCAGTCTCCATTATGATTTTATTGCCATCGTCCTTCACCGCCTCACTATTATACCTCATAGATTTGTACTGAAAGTATTACATATCCTCAAAATTAAAGGTGAGGGTAGGCGTTTTCCTATGTAATTCCCTGTTTGTGGGTTTCCGTCACTGAAGATGTATTTTGGAGCCTCTTATTATTTTTTATTTTTTAATGATGGAGTGCGCTTGATAACTGAGAGTAGGCCATGTGAAATGAGATAGGTGTGCATATGAGAATCTTGTCGAATGGAGTCAAGAAAAAGGGCTATCTAACGTAGGGGCTTTTTTTTTGTGGGACCGGAGGACTTTGGGTTGGGTAATAAATAAATATAAGGATGGTCTTTTTAATCATGTGAAACCACATAGAATTCCGTCGAAAATAAGGGTATATCTGCTTCATAGTATAACGGTAGGGTCTGAAATGACCAAATAGTATAACATAGGGCATATTTAAATTATTTTTGATAATACAGAGATATATTTGACCTTTTTCCATTTATAAAATCTACGTCTAGCATTGGTAAGAATAAACAATGCAAAATAATTCGTAATCAGTCCACAATAGTATCTATGTGAGTTAATTGGATCACGAGAAGAAACTGGAGATTCAGACAGTGATGAACTTTAAAAGAACTAATTTTACAGAAGGTGTAAATGGGAGGAATTGAAGAAAAAAGAGCAAGAAGAAAACCCAAAAGCTTATTTTTAAAGAAAATAATACTTAGACGAAGAAAGAAAAGAAGGTCACACAAAATGGAGGAAAGAAATTACTTGGGCCTTTTTTTTAGGAGAATTCGGGTCGAGGTGGTATATGTGGGTCGAATGGGTTTTTAGTGGATGGGCATTTTAATTTAGATTTGAGTAAAAAAAGGAGCAATAATTGAGTGTCACGAAAAAGTTATATTTATAATGGTAGTGGTATTCAAAAGTTTAACTAATTGGGCGTTTGGACGTAAGAATTGTAAAATTCCAAAAGGATGTGTTTTTTTTAAGTGAAAATGGTATTTAAACATTACAGTTGTGTTTGGACATGAATATAATTTTGGGTTGTTTTTGAAATTTTTTGAATGATTTGAGCATAATTTTTGAAAAATAGCTTTTTGGAGTTTTCCAAATTTTTGAAAAATTTAGAAATTTTTGAAAAATTTAGAAATTCATAGTTAAAGGTAAAAATTGAAAATTTTATGGCATTTTTGTTATGTCCAAACGGCTCTAAATTGAATGTTGGGGCATTTTTAGCCACTTCCGAAAAAACGAATAAAAAGAGGTTTGGCTGCACAGCTTTAAGTTAAGCCGGGAAAATCCTATAAAGCAGCGGCGGAATGGCGAGCGGTGGAAACGGAGGCGGAGGGCGGGTGATAAGGGTGCTGAACGTGGCAGAAAAGCCATCGGTGGCGAAGGCAGTGTCGGGGATACTATCGAGGAATCAAGGAGGTGGGATGAGAGTGAGAGACGGACGTTCCAGGTACAACAAAATCTTCGAGTTCAACTACACCATTCGGAACCAGCCTTGCCAGATGCTCTTTACCTCTGTCACCGGCCACCTCATGGAGCTTGAGTTTGACGATCGTTTCCGCAAATGGCACTCCTGTGACCCCCTCCACCTCTACGATGCCCCTGTTCGCAAGTATGTACCTCAGGTACCGTCTTTCATCTCCTCCCCTACAGTTTGTTTTTGTTGGAAAAGAATTGGTATTTCTTCTAGATGCAGAATTGGTGTTTCTAATCTTCCTCTTCTTGCCCTTCAAGTATTCTTCTAGTCCTGCCTATCCAAAATATACACAATGGGGTAACCTTCCAAATATCCTTCCCCCGCATCCCAAAGGGAAGTTCTAGATGCAAATTATGTATAGGGATGGCAATGGGGTGGTGCGGGTGCGGGTTTGAGTGCTAGCGGCGGTGCGGGTTTGGGAGTTTGCGGTTGCGGGCAGGGCGGGTTCAAATTTTAAATTAAAAAAATCAAGCGGGGCGGGTCGCGGGTTGGGGATTTAATTTTTTGAACTAACTAGTGCTGTGTCCTGTTGAAGGTTCGTTAAAGTGCTGTTTTCGTAACTAATTTTTCTTCTTCTTTGAATATCAAATTTGGTGAATTTAACAGAAGAAGCATTAGTAATTCTTTGTAAATCCTTGCATATGCAACATCCTTAAACGCTTTCAGATTTGACACGAACGTGAGCAGAAAGTAAGTCCCACATAATGATCGGAATCTATGTTATTTCCAAGTCACCTGATGTGATTAGGGTGGAAGTTTATTTGTGTTATTGGCAAAAAACCACAAAAAAAGAGAATTTTTATTAAAAAAGTTTGCGGGGCGCGGCGGGTTGAAATTATGCGGGTTCAGACAGAACCCGCCCCCCGCCCTGCCTGCCATTCCTAATTATGTATCCCCAATTTAAAATTTTTCAATATTTTATATTCATGTCAAATGTTGTTGTATTTGTTTCCTCCCTCTTGCTATGTTGTAATTTATATTTTTCTCCTTTGGTTTATCGCAACATTGTTGTGATTGAAATTGAGACGTCATTTGTAAAAGAATATGAAAATATGGGCTATAATATTTTCTGGTAATTTGTAGGATAAATTGGATATCAAAAGGACACTGGAGGAAGAAGCCAGAGGATGTCAGTGGATTATATTGTGGCTTGATTGTGATAGAGAAGGAGAAAATATTGCATTTGAAGTGTTGGAAGTATGTAGACAAGCGAATCATAACCTTAATGTGTGGAGAGCTCGTTTCTCTGCCTTAATTGACAGGTTCTGCCAGCTACCTGACATCTTGTGTTCCATATTAAGGTTTTACGTGCTACTCATGAATTGTCATTTTACTTTCTGAAAAATACTTCTGAGACCTCCAGGGAAATTCACCAATCAGTGCAGACCCTTGTTCAGCCAAATCAGTTATTTTCTGACGCTGTAGATGTTCGGCAAGTGAGTTCCGTTCCACAAGTCATTCTATTTTAAGACAGTGAAAAGCTTTCTTAGGTCTGAGACAGCTAACTAGAGCTTAACCATCATCTTCCTGTGGCAATAAAATTGCAATAACCTTTTTAAATAATAAATTAAGTGCTAACCATTATATTTTACAGTTGGAATCTTTATTACTGGTTGGTCAAGTATGACAGAATGCTCTAATATAGTTCTTTGTTTCTCATACTGTATTTTTCTATTTGAATTTGCAGGAGATAGATCTTCGTATTGGAGCTTCTTTTACAAGATTTCAGACAATGCTTCTGAGAGATGCATTTGTCCTTGATTTTGCAACTGATGATAGAAATCTTGTCTTAAGCTATGGTCCCTGCCAGGTAACAGATAGTATAACATTTTCACTAGGTTGATTTTATTTTACAGTGTGAGGTGTAAAATTTTGCAATGTACATTGTATTTGCTGCAGTTCCCTACACTTGGCTTTGTTGTGGAGCGTTATTGGGAAATACAAGCACATGAGCCTGAAGAGTTTTGGACAATCAATTGTACTCACAATTTCGATGAAGGCAGTGCTACGTTTAACTGGATGTAATGTTGCACTTGGTTCCGTCATAAGATTATTTCTGAAATAGAAGGTCAAAGTACCTATACTAATTTTGACTTGGCAGGCGTGGTCATCTGTTTGATTACACATGTGCAGTAACAATTTATGAGATGTGCATCCAGGAACCCACTGCAACAGTGAGCTCTAGAAAGCCAATTCTCATAGCTAAACCTTTTTATAGACCAGAAATTGAGGTTGCGAAGCTTAATTGATTATGTTGATTTGGGAAGGTTTCCAAAGTTAAACAGCAGGAGAAACTCAAATACCCCCCTCATCCATTAAGTACAATTGAGCTTGAAAAGCGTGCATCCAGATACTTCCGTATGAGTTCCGAGCAGACAATGAAGGTTGGCATTGTTCAAAAGTTTTTCCTGGAAATGTCTCTTTTGCTGTTTTGCACATATTCTTTTCTTTAATTTTATGGAAATATTGTTAGTTTTCCTTTTCTTTTCTTTTATTTTCCTCTTTGGTTTCTTTGTAGAATTGAGGCCTGCAATTAATATAGGTAAATTAAGGTATAAAATTTACACAACCGTTATATTAGGTGATTATAATCAGCTTCAAGCGCTAAGTTCTTTATTTGAGGCTTTGCAGATGAAGCTTCATATCCCAAGGTCATGGGCGTTGTTGCTGTCAAGGATCGTCCTATCATTTTATGTTGCTAATAGTTTTATGCATTTGTTTTCTTGATCTTAAAAAGCACCCGGCTAAAGTTTTTTACAAAACTAGCGAAAGTGTTCTTCAAACTCACGTGAGAAGAATGTAAGATGAAAAGAACCTTACCCACACGTTCTTCAATCCTGCAAGATTGCAAGAAGCGTTGAATAAAGGAAGAAAAAATAAACAAAAGAGAAATCACGTTTTTGAAGCAAGAGCTTAGAAAAACCAATCACCAATGTTTATTTTCAGCATATTGAGCTCTTTAAATAGGTGTTACAATGAGTAAGATTGATAAGGTTAAGGAAAACTAATCCTAATTAAACTAGAATAAGAATAAGGCTAAGAAAAACCTATCCTAACTAAAATAGGAAAAAAAATTCTTGTAGGAATGGAATACCACTAATCCTACTAAAATAAGAATTAAGAAATCCTAATCTTTAAGGAAAAGAAATCCTAATCTTGAATGAACTCTTGGACTTCTTCAATTTCTTGAAATTCTTGGGCCTCAACTGGACTAAGGCTAATTAGAGTAAGCATTTTAAATTTGTGACCCAATTCTCCAAATCCATTGGCACCTTCGTGAGCCTAATAATCCTCCATTGTTGTAGAAAACATGGCCTCTACTTGTGCTTCTCTAGCATCACGATTTGAGAATGTATGTTCATCATTCTCCCCTGGTTGAAAAGGACTCGCCCTCGAGTCATCGAAATAGTAGGGAGCAAGATCTGCTACATTGAAGATAGGTGATATCTCAAAGTCATTGAGAAGCTCCAAGCGATAAGCATTATCACCAATCTTTTGATGCACCTTAAAAGGTCCATTAGCTCATTTTTGTAATTTCGAAAACTTGCGGTTTGGAAACTCTCCTTACTTAAATGAACCCAAACCAGGTCGCCTTCCTTGAACGCCACATGTTTCCTATGCGTATCAGCCTTTTCTTTGTATTTAGCATTTTGCTTCTCGATATGTGCCCGAACTTTCTCATGTAGTTTCTTGAGTTGCTTCAATTTATCGACAACATTTCCACTAAAAGAATGAGTAACTAGAAGAGGGGAAAGATCAAGTGGTCTAAGAGGATTCTTACCATATACGACATCGAATGGACTCTTTCCCGTAGTGCGGTTAGTTGACTTGTTGAAAGCAAACTCAGCGGTAGGAAGTAACGATTCCCACTCTTTGAGATTCTTCTTTATTAACCCACACAGTAAAACAACTAAACTTCGGTTGACAACTTCGGGTTGCCCATCAGTTTGGGGATGATGAGAAGTGCTAGGTGTTAGCTTAGTACCAAGTTTAGCCCATAAAGTCCTCCAAAAATGACCCAGGAACATCGAAACCCTATTTAAGACAATAGTTCTCAGAATTCCATGCAATTTCACAAATATGATCAAAGAAGAGATCAACAATGTTTGTTGCATTTGAAGTCTTATCGCAAGGAATAAAGTGAGCCATCTTTGAAAATCGATCAACAACAACGAAGATGGAATCCTTACCCCTTTGAGTCCTTGGAAGGCCCAACGTAAAGTCCATGCTATTGTCTTCCCAAGGTTGAGTAGGAATTGACAGAGGAGATTAAAGACTGTGCATTTTTGCCTTTATACAAGTTTCACATCTTTCAACCAGCTTATTGACATCTCGAACCATCTTAGGCCAATAGAATTTTTCTTGAACTAGGTGTAGAGTCTTTGTTTGCCCAAAGTGGCCAGCTAATCCTCCCTCATGGGACCCACGAATTATAAATTCACACAATCTCTTTTGTGAAATACAAAGCTGCTTACCATAATAAAGATAGCCATCCCTAAGCACAAACATACACTGAGGACCCTCCCAACATTGACTCCAGATAGCTCCAAAGCTCGGATCTGTTGCATATAATTCCTTTATGTGCTCAAAACCCGAAATAGTATATTGCATAGCAGAAACAAACAAGGTTGACTTAATGCATCTGTTACTTGATTGACCTTCCCAACCTTGTGTTTAATAACAAAGTGAAAGGCTTGCAAAAATTCTACTCACTTGGCATGCCTAATGTTGAGTTTTTGAGGTTATTTACATACTTCAAGGCCTCATGATCAGAATAAATTATAAATTCTCGAGGTAAAAGATAGCGACTCCAATGAGAAAGAGCTCTAACAATAGCATAGAACTCCTTGTCATAAGTAGAATACTTTAACTTTGCATCATTCAACTTCTTGGTGGTGGTGGAGGTTGTAGGCATTGTGGCGGATTTGGGGGCTGATTTTGAATCGCCAAACCTTCAACTAATTTTGCATTAATTTCTTTAAGCCATCTAGCTGGACTTTAATTTTTTCTTTGTCCCGTTCAAGGGTTTTAGCTCTTAATCTTTCAATTTGAAGTTGTTCATCAGTTGAAAATGATCCCAAGTTTGTTATTTTCTTGTCTGGCGACATGATGAACAAGATAACAATTTAAGAATTCAGACCTAGAACTAGTGCTTTGATACCATTGATGTTCTTGCAAGGTTTTGCACCTCTCAAGCACAAAGAAGAGAGAAAACAAAAGCACCCTGCTAAAGTTTTTCACAAGACTAGCGAATGCGTTCTTCAAACTCATGTGAGAAGAATTTAAGATGAAAAGAACCTTACTCACACGTTCTTCAATCCCGGAAGATTGCAAGAAACGTTGAATAAAGGAAGAAGAAATAAACAAAAGAGAAATCACGTTTTTGAAGCAAGAGCCTAAAAAAACTGATCACCAATGCTTTTTTAAGCATATTGAGCTCTTTAAATTGGCTTTACAATGAGTAAAATTGATAAGGTTTAGGAAAATTAATCCTAATTAAATTAGAATAAGAATAAAGCTAGCACCCAAGGGTGTGACCTAGTGGTGGTCAATGAAGTGGGTGAGAACCATAAGGTCTCATGTTCAAATCCCAGAGGCAAAAAATACTAGGTGATTTTCTCTCATCTATCCAAGTCTTGATGGATAGAGTTACCTGGTACCTGTTGCTGGTGGGAGGTGGCAGGTATCCGTGGAATTAGTCGAGGTGCACGCAAGTTGAATCGGACACCACGATTATATAAAAAAAAGAATAAGAATAAGGTTGAGAAAAACCTATCCTAACTAAAAAAAAAGAATTCTACTAGGAATGGAATGCCAACTAATCTTACTAATTAAGAAATCCTAATCTTGAATGGATTATTGGATTTCTTCAATTTCTTGAGATTCTTGGGCCTCAATTGGACTAAGGCTAATTAGTGTAAGCGTTTTAAATTCGTGGCTCAATTCTCCAAATCCATTGGCACTTTCGTAAGCCCAATAAACCTCCATTGTTGTAGACAACATGGCCTCCATTTGTACTTCTCTAGCATTACAATTTGAGCTTGTATGTTCATCCAGAATTTAGATATTTTTCTTTAAATATCCATAATTTCTAATGCATTTGAACTATGCTATCCACATTTATTAATTTTGGGTGTCAAAGGGGCGAGTTTACGGAGGGGGTGGGTCAAAATAGGGTGAGTCAATAAATGATTTATGACCCCAATTTTATGTGGAGCAAGATGGGTGATTGACTAAACTATGGGTCATAGTTGAACCTGCTCAGATCAAAGCCATTTTTTCCACTTATTTGTTTGTTATGTTAATAATTTATTTAGTTATCAAACCATTTTTTTTCTTTATACAGAGAAAGATTGTGAAAGTATAAAGACAGAAATATCCATAACGATTAAATAAAATGTCATGTTGTATTTGTTGTCGAAGTTTACTTATGGGTCAAGTTGGGCTGCTCTGAAGCTTCTGTATGAGTTATCTTGGGTTTGGTGTGCCCAAATCGACCCATCAATGAATGTATTCCTAGCCCAATCTGTCCAAGCTTGGGGGAGTTGGACGGGTACGCTTTTCTAGACTAATTTGACTCTCTTAGTTTTTTTCTGGTGTGTTACTTCATGCGTCTCAGAATGATTGGTGTTGGTAAGGCATTAGTATTTTCATGGTTTTCGAATGTCCTACTTCCTTTGTCTTTGTCCCCATCTTAATGTGATGTTGTTCAACTTGCGAATTCTACAGTTTAAATTGAATTGTATGTTTTTGTTTAAATAGAACAAAATGATAGTTGAAAATTTGTTTATATGGAAAAATATTTTGTCAGACTTCAAATTTGAAATTTTGAATAGCTAAATGTACTGAGTTCTTGACAAGTTCTCAAGAAAATTAATACTAGCAGCGAGACGAATTTTGGGAGTCCAGGATGCAAAGTGAATAACATAAACTAGGATAGGAGTATTATGTATCTTCTTCCGGTGTCTTTTCTATCGGTCAGTGAGTTGATTGGTCTAGTGTTCAGAATTTTACATTATTTGCCTCATTGATGTGGTATGCCCTTTAATATTTACTGATGAATATGTTTAATTGCTCGACATGCTTCTGGATCAGGATTATTAGATTAACTTCCTCTGTTCCTTTTTGGCAGGTGGCAGAAGATCTATATCAAAATGGTTTTATCAGTTATCCTCGCACAGAAACTGATTGCTTCTCGGAGAAGACTGACTTGCGTGTGAGTAACTATTTTTTTCACTTATAAGCTAAATGTAAGTCATGTTGTAGGTAATGTTATTCAAGCTATGCCACTTGTTAAATCATGATTAGTATGTGAAGAGAGAAGTTATGAAAAAGCATGAGTTCCATCTATGTTGCTCGGATCGGGTGTGGCACCTGACATGAGTACGGATCTAGAAGTTCGTCATCACCTAAATTTTAGGATTCGGGGATTAGGATAGGAGCATGTGTATGGGTGTTAAGGTAAAACCAGTAAATGCATATTACGAAGTATATAAGCCTCTTTGAAAAGCCACCATGGGGTGCAATTACACAATTTAAGATGTTTGTTTGACCAAATAATTACACGGTCAGCATGTAACTAAGTGTAGGGGGAGGGGTTGCAATTACAATCTCCAATTCTCAAGGGGTAAGTAAGAATTGGTGGTAATTACCCGTGTAATATAACCTTATATAGCTTTTCTAATTCTCTTTTTTTTTTCTTTTTTTTTTCCTTCAAATATTTAAGTGTTATTTTTACACTATTTTTCTTCCATTTCTCTTATTCTCATTTTCAACCTTCGAACGTATTGCTTATGGTGTGCTTCCATACGATTTTGCAACTTCGCATGTTTCTTACTTTATTTTTCTTAATTGTTAAAAACAATTTCGTATTTTACTAGCTTTACTTTCCATTCATTAGTATTAATATGTATTAAGAAAAAATACCTTCTAAACTCATATATATCTTTTTGTTATTTAAAAAGTGCAAAAAATAAAATATTTCATATAATATTCATACGAGCGGGTAAAAAACTTAATTTCATAGTTAAAATTTGTATTGATTATTTTAAGTTAAGATATTATTTATTTGAAAGATAGTCAAGATACCGATTATTCTTTACAATATTAGTTAGGCAGAATATAGTGGGACTCCCCCTGAATGTGACTGATTTTAATTCAATACACACCTAAACTTTAGGGTAGCCTAATTTCCCCCTAAACTTGGCAATCTGATAGCCTCAACTCCCTTGACACTGATGTGGCAAAGAGCGTGAATACACTATCTGTTTGTGCGTGGGAGGGAGAAAAAATTAAAAAAACAGATTCCAAATGGGATATTTTTCAACTATTATGCCACATAATCAAATACAATAATTTATTTGTTTCAACTTTGTTTCTCCTTGTTTCATCTTACTATACACTGGATATTTTATCTCAATTGTATTTCTCTTTTTTTTTTCGAGCAAAATCTTTGAAACTCCATTATTTTAGCCAATTAAAAAGATGTTTTAACAAAAGTAATTGAGTTCAAGTGATGTATTTTCAAGAGTGAAAAAAACTGTGTATTTCTTCTTCTCATGCAACGACTATTTGTTTAACTATGTATTAATTCCTTTTTGGGTCAAATTCGTTAGACATTTGGTTGGAATTTTGTTTTTTGCCTTTTTAGCCAGAATAATGGAGTTCCAACTGCATATTTTTTATTTCTTCTTACATGGAATGATTGTTTATTATAACAGTGTCATTTGTTTAAACAACTTTACTAGGATATCATTATCTTTAGCCAAAATAATAAAGCTGTTATACAAAATAACGTTTTAAAGTTTTTTCTAGAGATTTGGCTCCAAAAAAATGATCGTAATAATTGGACTTAAAAAGATTAAAAAAAAAATTATTCTAAAAAATGCCACATTGACAAAAAATCCATGTGACGGTGCGTGTGCCACACTTATATGGGTTTTTACTGACTCCCGAACCTTTTGCTCTAATTGAGGCCATGACCTTGTCGCATTCTACCGGCAAATATCTCCTCTCTACTGTTGCTTCACACCACAAAAAGTCCCTTATTAATTTCTTACTCAAGCTAAGAGAAGCAAAATGGTGACCAATAACATGAGTTGTGAACTACCGGCTTGAAAGTGTCGCTTCTACAAGAGTTTTTTTTTTTTGATTTGCACCGGGTGTCCGAGTCTCTTCGAGCCCCGACTATTCCCGGGGGTGCACAGGCCCTCGGAAAGGAGTTTCCCGCAAGTGCACCACGGTTAATTCAGGTTTTACCCAGTCCGATGGCCCTCAGAAATTGTTTGCACCCAGTGGGTTTTACCCAGTCCGGGGGTGCACAGGCCCTCAGCTACAAGAGTTTTTACACCCCTATTGGAAAAATATTGCTTTTTTTATTCTCCAATCTCCTTTAAATTTTTCGCATCACCGGTCACCACCCTAAGGTAGGGTCAGATAAATGGGCTCAAGTAGAGTGGATGGAGTATAGAGGATTCAAATAGCCTATCTCAACTAGTTTGAGATGGAGGAGTAGATGAATGATAGAAAGTGGGATCAGATAAGTTCTCAGGAGATTAGCCACCTTATATCCATATGATGATGTTAATTCTTGTATGGTCTGTGCTTCTCCTATGGGAATATAATCTCAATTAATTATATCTATACATTGTCTGGATTAACCTGAAACCATATCAATATTTTTGAATGTCTTATTTGTAATTCGCACAATATCAATTTATCATCTAGGAATAAAAGATGTGGAATATGGATCTTTTCATTCATTCCCTCGATCGCCAGAGATGACGACGAGTTTCCTTGTCTAATGCCTCTATTATTACTGGAAAAGCCATAGGAGTCCCCTTAATCATTATGGAGAACTTTAAGGTGGATATGTGATAATGTATCAACTTTTTGTCCCCAAAAGCCCATTGTGCAGTAGTATTTATTTAAGAGCTTCCTTTTTACGTGGTCATAAGCTTTCCCATATCTGCTTAGCACGTAAGCGATGATCTCCGCTTCTGAGCCTCGAGTACCCTGTCTCATTAGAAATAAAACTTGCATCCAAGATTTGTCTTCCACTCACAAAGGCACTCTAAGTAAAAGATTCTAATCCATTACTATCCTATATCTTATTCATTCTATTTTTGCCATGATTTTGTACATGCTCCATATCAGATGCCCCTCTTCTCTTAGGCATCCAAACTATTAAATGATGAACTGAAACTTATCCCAAATGATCCACAAAAATGGAAATATCTATACATTCCAACACATCTTTTTTCAAAAATCATTTCTGTTAGCGGAAACGTAAAAGAAAGAACACAAGATTTAACGTGGTTCGGATCAAAATAATCCTACGTCCACCAGAGAACAGTTGCCTTCTTATTATTAACAAAGGAAGGGGAGATTTCCCAATTACACTTAAGAGAATTTCTCTTTTAACTCTCTACTCACTACAATGTATTGTATTATTTTTTGGGATGGTTTCTACAAATGAAGGAGTGCATCTATTTATAGAGGTAAGACCTCCTCTTGATGTCATTGGTGACATCAAACTACCTCCTCTTGATGTCATGGGTGACATCAAAGGAGGAAGCTTCCTCCTAGCTTCCACACCAACTCTTTCCACCAACTCTTCCAATTGGCATGCCATTGTTGACTAAGCATAAATNCTTCAACAACATCTCGAATAAAATGAAATCTGACATCAATGTGTTTAGTGTGCTCATGAAATCTTTGATTTTTCCTTAGATGAATAGCACTCTGACTATCACATCTAAGAGTTGATTCCAGCTTAACCAAACTCAATTCTGCTACTAAACCTTTCAACCAGATAGCTTCCTTCAAGCTTCCTTCACCGCCTCCGCTGCTGCCATGTATTCTGCTTCTATCGTAGACAAAGCGACAATCGACTGCAAAGTCGATTTCCAACTAACGGCACTGCCAACAAGGGTAAAGATATATCCAGTTGTGGACCTTCTTCTGTCAAGATTTCCTGCATAGTCAGAATCTACATAACCGAGAATTGAAATACCTCGACTTTTTCGAAAGGTCAGACCAATACCAGAAGCTCCTTTGATATATCTCAATATCCACTTGACAGCTTCCCAATGCCTCTTTCCTGGGCTGGACATGTATCTACTTACCACACTTACAGATTGAGCAATATCTGGACGTGTGCATACCATAGCATACATAATGCTACCGACTGCACTGGCATAAGGAATCTTTGACATATGCTACACCTCATCCTCGGACTGAGGCATTAAAGAGGGTTCACCTGACCATACCTCATTCGGAGTCTTAAAGTCAATTGCCGATGTTGGAGATCAATTGACAATATGAGCAGCAGTGTGAACTGCTTCAGCCCAAAATACTTTGGACATTTTGGCTTGTAGGAGCATACAACGAGCCTTTTCAAGAAGAGTTCTGTTCATTCTCTCGGCAACTCCATTCTGCTGTAGGGTATGCGTGACAGTCCTATGTCTTGAGATCTCATGAACCTTGCAGAATTCATTAAACTCTTCATTGCAAA